ATCTCGGGCGACACATCATGCACCCGGATGAGATAGCAGATATCACACTCCAAAGAATCTGGAAATTTATAGACTCAACGGGACTAAGCAGTGAACTTTAAAGACAAGGGCTGCCACAATAGATCAAACCTGGTCGAGTTGGCGCAAATAAAGGCCCAAAAACCAATAATAATAATAGTTGTGATAAAAGTATATCAGAATATTTGCGATTTTAGTTTTAAGAATAGGAATCGAGCTTTATATATTTGGGTTATCACTCTTGTAACACTGTTACCTATTATATTATTGAATTTTGATTTGTTTTCGTGGGATTCTCACTATTGTAACACTGTATTGTTTTATATTTAATTTTTACATATTATTTAATTTTTGTTAGTTTTCGCTTGATTATCACGATTGCAGCACTGTACTAATTATGTTAATTAATTTGATTTGTACTTATGTTATTTTTGATAACTTTGTTTGTTGGTTTACGTTCCACGGCTTAAAATGCACTTTGAGTTTACGACCGTTTGTATTATACGTGGTAGGGCTTTGCAAGTTGCAAGGGTCTTTTCGGGTCGGACCGTCTGGAGCGCACATGTTGTGCACGTCCACTCTCGAGCGCTGCCCAAAAACTAAATTAATAACTACCTTATTTCTCACGAACGAATAAAGGTATCAAATTGAAATTTATACCAGATACCTAGGTCTATTGTACCTTTAAGCAGTGAAAAACTCAAACTTCTAAGTTAACGCGATCAAAAGATACAGCAGTTTATACCGACACCTTAGACCAGTGTTTTTCAACCTGTGGATCGCGACCCCCTGGGGGGTCGCGAAGCCTCTATAGGGGGGTCGCGAAGCCTCTATAGGGGGGTCGCGAGAGGTCGTAAAAACTACCTCAGTAAAAAAAACAGTAGGTAAAGTTTTAAAGATAGATTTATCCGAAATCGAATTATGCAAATGCGTAAATGTTGTATGGACTGAAGTTTTCTCGGACCCTACAACATCTTTGTGACATTATAAACAAAAAACATACACTTGAATTGAGAACATCCTTTTTTTGAAGTCGTTTAAAAATGCAGGAAAAAAAAGTAAACGGTCGGGGGGTCGCAAAACTTTTTTTCATACTAGGGGGGTCGCGTCATGAAAAAGGTTGAAAAACACTGCCTTAGACGAATTTCCGTCACACGCTAGGGAATCAAAACCTGCAAGGTACTTCCCGTAAACTCAGAATCTTGAAATTCGGCACGAAGCAACTTTATCCTGTATAACTGTTGAATTTTGTAATGCTACCTGGAAGGAAAGTAATTTTAATATTGTAGATATAATTTTTTCCTCAAAGAAAACATTCCCTTATTTTTGAAAAGAAATAGAACTGCATTCAAAGAATTCTAAAAATTTGCTTTACACACCCGGGATTCGAACCAACTAAAATCTGTTAAAAATTACACCCTGTATTTTTATTGCATCGATCGTTACGGTTAAGTATAAGGATGATGTCTCCAACAAACTTGATTAATCAAATGAAAGGAAACTGATATGTATGGGAACAAGGAGCGTGAGTGAAACACGACGGCTGTCAACGCACTGGATGTATTCATCGATCGATTAGACGCGGGCGCAGCCGCGTAACTATAGCTAGTTATAGGTACACATACATAACATCTTTCCCCCCTTATAAGTTTTACATGAATTGTTTATAATTAACCGGAGGCCGAGCTCGTTTAGACCTGCCTACATTCACAGTTCTGTTCTCTTCTATGACTTCTGCCTCCTCAACATCATGAAAAACTTCATCATCGTCTGATGAAGGCGGCCGACGAACTCCTCTTGTCAGTGTTACTTTGCATGGCGAGGGCTCGGCTTGTGCCTTGTAATGTGTTATCGGTGTTAATTGGTTCCGTTGTAGAGGCCACACTCACGTCACGTGATTGTGGCACGCATAGCCCTTCCCCTAGTGAAGTTTCTTCCGATTCAGAGATTGAAGTCGAATCAGAACGCACTATTTCATTATCATTGTAGGTATAAACGGCTCTGTCTCCCGATGAGTGATTACTCATATTCGATCCTGTTCCTTTATTATATAATATAAGCACAGAATACATAATAGTAGCAACAGAAATTGCACTCCTTTGTGTAGGATCAGATGCCGACATTTTAACGGTAATAATAATAATGCGAAATATCCAACGCACATGGTGCATTCGAAATCGCACCTTACTACTACGCTCACAAGAGCGCATTTTTTTTGTGTTTAGAATTGATCTACGTCACCGCTCAAGCGTCAGGGTTGTATGAGCAAAGTAAAATAAATAAAAACTTAATTTTAAGAAGCATTTATTGTATTTACGATTAGAAAACTTTAATCTAGTGGAGTTTGTATAATCGTACCATCTCTAAAGTACCTATTAATAAACTTCAGTGTTGCGATAATTCGAAATTAAACAAACAGTTTTAAAAGGTGTAGTGTCGGAAAATAGACACGGTGAAGTAAAGTTAATGTTTTTATTAGCTAAAATAATTTTTTTGCTATAGTTTTTTGTCATAAGTATTTCAAAATAATTTATTATTTAAAAAGTGTAGTTTTTTTTTATTCACAGAATACATAATAGTAGCAACAGAAATTGCACTCCTTTGTGTAGGATCAGATGCCGACATTTTAACGGTAATAATAATAATGCAAAATATCCAACGCACATGGTGCATTCGAAATCGCACCTTACTACTACGCTCACAAGAGCGCATTTTTTTTGTGTTTAGAATTGATCTACGTCACCGCTCAAGCGTCAGGGTTGTATGAGCAAAGTAAAATAAATAAAAACTTAATTTTAAGAAGCATTTATTGTATTTACGATTAGAAAACTTTAATCTAGTGGAGTTTGTATAATCGTACCATCTCTAAAGTACCTATTAATAAACTTCAGTGTTGCGATAATTCGAAATTAAACAAACAGTTTTAAAAGGTGTAGTGTCGGAAAATAGACACGGTGAAGTAAAGTTAATGTTTTTATTAGCTAAAATAATTTTTTTGCTATAGTTTTTTGTCATAAGTATTTCAAAATAATTTATTATTTAAAAAGTGTAGTTTTTTTTTATTATTTAAATCACTACAGTTAATTATTACTCCTAAATATTAAAATTTTTCATTAAAGAAGAATAACAGTGCTGTTGGAATAATAAACCTTAATTGCGACGATGATCGACCGAGCGTGTATAGAAATACGCGTAAGCAAACAGGCGCGTGGCGGCCCGGACTGATTTGCAACTTGAAGTTGTCGCGCGCTGTAGGTAATTATCTCGGCCGGCATAGGCGAGTGACGGAGGCCTGATATAAGTTGGTTTCGATGCTTTTTCACATAGTTCAATGAGTTATAGTCCTTGACAACGTACAACATTTTTCCTAGGTTTTTATGTATCTTTCCTCTTAACCATATAAACTTATTATTGTTCAAATACTTTTTGTAAAAAACATCTTGTTCAACATAAAATGTTCTAAATTTACCACCGCGCCGCTCAGTTAGCAAACACTGTTTGGAACGCACACGCATGTGGAGTGAGGCAGAGGAGGGCGCCGACGACGGCGCCGGGGGGCGGGGACTCATGAGGTCCAGGCGCGATCTCAGTTGACGGCTAAAAACCAGTTGAGCTGGTGATTCACCAGTAGTAGAATGACTAGAGTTACGGTAGTCGAACACGTATTTTAATAATTTCAGTCTACTTTCTCTGATACTTTTACTAGTTTGTACTACAGATCTGATTCCACGTTTAATTATTTTTACATAAGATTCCGCTTGACCATTGCTTGCCGGGTGGTACGGCGGTGACGTCATGCGGGAGATTCCGTTTAATTTACAAAAATGTATAAACTCGTGCGAACTAAACGATGTGCCGTTATCGGTCACTATTGTGTGTGGTAGCCCAAACCTAGCCATAAATTCATATAATTTATCGATTACAGCTGGTGATGTGCATGTGCTCATTTCGTAAACTTCTACCCATTTTGTATAAGCATCGACAATAATTAGGTAAGTAGGTACGTCCATTCACAGGCCCTAAAAAATCTAGATGAATTCGATGAAAAGGCCGTGGGGGATATGGCCAGGGTGACACGGGCGCTCGGGGCGGTGATGGCCGTAATTGGACACACACTTCACAAAGGCTTATCATGCGTTCTAAAGCCGCGTCTATGTCGGGAAACCAAAAGCGAGAGCGAGCCGCGGCCTTAGTTTTAACAATACCTAAATGAGATGTGTGTAGATCCGCTAAAACCCGGTTACGGAGCGTCTCTTGTATTACTACCTTATGACCACGCATAAGACATCCGTTTTCATACGACAGTTCCAATTTACACATAAAATACGGTTTTAAATTAGGGTCTTTAACTGATCGTGGCCAACCATTTAGCACATAATTAATGACAATTTTTAACACATAATCTGTCTTAGTTGTTTCACGTAACTCGTCTAGCATTATCGGAGTCGATCCGTCTATAACGAAACAAACATAAGCAGCTCGGTCGCAAATGTCGTGACCCCCTCCCTCGCCCCCTCGCTCCGCGGCCATATCGCCGGGCCCGTCTGAGGTAGCCGCTGGGGGGTCACAGACGAAACATTTCAATTTGACAGCTCTGAGAATTGATTACAGCGCCATCTAGTGTCGTCATTTGTCAAATGTTCAAAATGGTTCTTTTGTAATGACATATTTTTTCGATAGATGTCTATAGTACTCTACAATCTTCATAAAGTTAATATTCCTTCGGAATAGAGCAACAATCACGAGCTGTCAAACGAAACCAAAAATGAGATGTCATTTGTGTGTGTAAATATAAATATGTGTGCATGCTAGTGATGTATGTCGTTACTTTTCACATGAATATCGATATCGATTTATATTAATTAACACCTAACAGTAGTAATATTAATGGAACTAAAATAGGATAGAATGTCCATATACAATCCGTATATGGGAGAGTGGAAAATAAAAATAAAACTCAGAAGATTAAAATGATTTAACTGATTTAATTGAAAGAGCAACAAACATCAAGACATCCATATGTCGGCGCCGGACACAGATGCTGCAATTATTATTGATGATAAACGGCCGAATACTGAAACGCCATTTAAATATTTGACGGCTTCTCAAATAGTTAAGCAGCTCCTAAACTTACATTTCGCATACTCAAAACAATATCTGAGCAGTTCTCAATTTTTAAGCACCTCTCAAAGTAAGTTGCACTCAAACGCCACTTAAATGAATTTTCGAATACTGAAACGCCATTCAACGCTAAGCATTACTCAAACAACTGTCAAATCGTCTTGAGCAGCCGTTAAATTTGAGAGTGCTTGCGCGGTATCTTAAATCCTATTCTTATACCTAAATCGACCTAAATAGTGGTAAATAATGTCTGTGTCATCGTTATCATTTCTTTCGAGCCTCGAGGAAATACCTAGATCTAATCGCAGGAACGCAATAAGGCTGAACGCTATTGAAAAATATTATTATAATGACATGCAATTCCGAGCGAGGTTCCGCGTCACGGCCGAATACTGAAACGCCATTTAAATATTTGACGGCTTCTCAAATAGTTAAGCAGCTCCTAAACTTACATTTCGCATACTCAAAACAATATCTGAGCAGTTCTCAATTTTTAAGCACCTCTCAAAGTAAGTTGCACTCAAACGCCACTTAAATGAATTTTCGAATACTGAAACGCCATTCAACGCTAAGCATTACTCAAACAACTGTCAAATCGTCTTGAGCAGCCGTTAAATTTGAGAGTGCTTGCGCGGTATCTTAAATCCTATTCTTATACCTAAATCGACCTAAATAGTGGTAAATAATGTCTGTGTCATCGTTATCATTTCTTTCGAGCCTCGAGGAAATACCTAGATCTAATCGCAGGAACGCAATAAGGCTGAACGCTATTGAAAAATATTATTATAATGACATGCAATTCCGAGCGAGGTTCCGCGTCTCAAAAGAAACGGTGTTGTTTCTGGATTCATAATTTGGAAGCTCTTTGAAACCCCTCACCAAACGCCATACAACCAGTGGACCAAATACTTATTATAACCCTACGGTTCTACGCAACGGGAAGTTATGAACGTGTGTACTAGGTGATATCTTCCACATCGAACAGCCAACTGTGCATCGTATAGAGCACAAAGTAACAACCAAAATAGCTGCTATGAAATCGCTTTACATAAACATGCCTACTTCTGAGGAATAATAATATGGGGACATCGCAGCATTTCCAAGAGTTGTTGATTTGTCAATTTGATGCTCTGTCAACAATGATAAATGTCAATTGTGGTTACGTTTCGGTCCACGATCGCCACTTAATAGATTTCAACAATAAAAAGTTTCACCTTTAAAATTATTTTTTAATTAAATAAAAATGCAAGCGTTAATTATTTTATATAATAAAACGAGAATTATGTATAATAGAAACTAAAAATAAACTGTTCTATGTTAAGTTGATTGAGTATATTTCCATAAAAGACAATACATAACCAAACGATGCTGCGTGTAATGGATAAAAAACGTAAAGTTATCATTTGTGTAAATGAAAACATACTTTTTTTGGTAAATGTTGCCAGTAGGTAAACATTTGAGAGCTGCTTAGCTGATCACGGCTTCAAATCCTTTGAGTGGTGTTTGAGAATACCATTTAAAATTGAAGGATACTTAAATTTAGGAGCCCGTCAGCTGAGTGAAAGATTTGAGTAGTGATTCAGTATTCGGCCGTAATAGTACCAATCTTAATATTATGTTATCTGTATAAATTATCTGTATAAATCTGTAGAGCGGAAGGTTTGTGATTCCTAAACGTAACACCCGACTGATGCGCAGAAAAAGATAACTGTCAATCAGTTGTGCTTAGATTAGGTTTTATTAATCTAAGCAGTTGTGTCATGTCAAGTGTGAGCAGGCGGCTGCGAGGTTATCTTTGAGAGCGTGTTGAGTTTGGTGGAACGTTAAATTGTAGGAAAAGTGATTGTCAACCATCCAAGATATTATCTCCTTGCCCGTTAACCCACGCCAATGGAGATTCCACCCCTAGAGTTCCTTTTGATAGAGACCCAGTGCCTTTATCAGAAGTGCACTATTCAAAGGAGATAAATCTTTCAGCATGCACACCTACGCTACGCAACTCATCAAGTTTTACATGGAGGATGCTGACTCAGACGTTGAGAGTTGGTGCAGGTTGACGGAAATTATTGTGATTGACGTAAACTGGAAGGGCCTTTGTGAGTGAGTGAGTTGAGGGGGCCGGGCCAAGGGCGCCCGGGCCACCCTGTTGCCGTGGTTGAAGGGGCTGTTTACGCCCGGGCCACGCTGGTGTAATGTTGTGATTCTGGCTCCAATTTTTCGAAAACATTTACTATCAAAATGTTTGCTACATAAAGTGGCATATTTAGTTGGAATCCAATTTGGACGATTAATTAATTTGAGCCATGTTTTTCTTACATCTTCGTTAGTCGGAAATCTGAAAGATACTTTACTAATTAGTACCTATTATAATAGTCAGAAACTCATATTATTACATTCCCAGGTGACTGTGATAGACAGTGCACAAAATATATTTATCGATTGTGGTACAGCCCTAGTGTAAAACGAAAATTATTTCTTTACACAAAATATTCATAAATTCTGGATTATGTGCATGAAATCTTTGCTTACAACTTAAATTAATGTTTAAAGAACATAATTATCACACTTAGTGCTTAAAATTCTAAGCGCATTCACAAAAATAAAGCTAAAGTTTGGAGGTGTCGATTTCAATAAATTTACCTGTGAAATTAATATTTTGCGGGATTATTTCTCTGGTTTACATCACAATCAAGGACGGAACAGGTCACCATTGTATTACAATAAAAAAATTCCAAAACTATACAGGATTTTACGAAATTTTTAGAAAAAACTGTGATTTGAAATTCTGCTTTGTGCCTCTATGTGTCACTGCCTGTCAAATCTTTTGCAAAAATGGTTCTATTGACGTGACGATGATAGCATCACACATCTCTTTTTATCACACAGGGTTGCAGATAGTGACATCTCGCTCGCTCATTCTTTGTTGCTCTATTCCGAAGGAATATTAACTTTATGACAATCTTCAAAGATTTTGTATTTAATATAAAAAATATGAATGAAATATCTTTTATAAGAAAATTATCATAATGTGATGTTATTATTTTTTACGAAATAATTACGTTTTATCACTTTAGATTATTAATAAATGTTCCAAGAGCCTACTACATGGTCTGTGATGTCACTTCAATCAAGAAGAAGTGTCAAATTCGCCAAATCAAACAAAATGGCTACTTCCCTCTGCGTGTACGCATGTTGTTGTAGACCAATTTTGTGTATCGTGATTTGTCTGGTGTTTTCTACTTAGCGTTGTTTCGAGCTTCAGTAAGTTCCTCCGCTTAAGTGTTGAATTCTTACCGGGTCAAGTTTGCGTAGACTACATGTGCTTGCTCTTCAGCAAATTCTGCGCCAGGACGCTTTTTAGTTGTTTAGTGTTGTTTGCGATTTGGACGCTATATTTTGTGTTTGCTTGTGTGCACAAGATGCCTTGTCGTTGTGCATTAGGCTGCGAGCCAAATGGTAAGTTACTAGATTATAGATATAATAAATACATTATAACTGCCTGGCTTGGTCTTTCGCGTAGTTATTGAACTTCATCGCCAGCGGTTGCGGCTTCGAATCCCGCTGGGGGCAAAATTTAATGTGACAAGCATAAGCATTTTATACCTTGAATCATAGGAACTAAACACATTCCCATCAAGCTTAGTTGGCCTGTAACTTTTTATTATGTGCGAATTTTTACTCCCAAAACGATGTGGCACCAATGAATAATAATACATATAGGTCAGATAATATTTTTTACTCCAAAAACGATGTGGTATACTAGATATTTGAGTGTTAGCTCAGGAACCAAGAAACACATAACTCAGGAAGTACTGGTTCGAATTGAAAAATTATGTGTGATAGATAGTCCATTTATCGAGGCAAGCTGGCTAAATAACATCATGCCACGATCAATAGGAGCAGGCTGAGCTGCAATGAAAAATGTTGCAATAACGAGATCAAATATTTTTACATGAGAAGTCATGGGCACAAAATATCTAATCTTGTTTCACATGAGTGTTATACATAATGGTCTTTGAGCATTGTGCTAGGGTCAATATAACTTTTATACTAAATGGTGGAGTCTTGATAAACTGCACATATGATTTTTATAGTACTATACATTTTTTAGTTTTAATTACATTATAAAGAATTAAGACAACACTATAACTTTTGAATTAATAGGTATATTATAATCATAAAATAAAACCAGTAATGATGGTAAAATATATAAAATATCCACAAAACCGCAACAAATAATAATAAAATGTTACTTTTTGAGAAAACAAAAATGGTGCTCATTAACCTATGTATATTGTCTTCAGGAACTCCATTACATCGTTTTCCTAACCCGGAGAAGTTTCTTGAGCAGTTCAAAGCTTGGGTGGATATTGAAGGAGGAAAGCTGCAGTCTCCTGAAGACTTTGTCCAGTACAG